TTTTCATATCTTATTGGGATTTACCTTATGCATATAGTCTAGACTCAAAAGCGATGGGACAGTTCGAGACCTTCGGTGGTAAGATCCATTGGACTCTACAAGGAAAACCAGAAAGTGACGTGTTCATATCTGAGGATGATCCTGAGAGGTCTATGCTAGAAATGGCAAGAAAAATTCTCTAATTATTTCTGCACTTTTGACTCCATCGTTGAGTGACGACGAGGTTTGAATGAGACTAAAACTATTCGTGTTCATGACAAATCTCTTCTGAGCTATAGTCAAATCTATGTCTGAAGCAAAAAAAACACCTTGGCTTTTTATTATTTCGGTCACTTAAAAGATCATTTCATTCATAAATACTGGGTGGACCGAAATAATTGCGACACTTTTGTCTTGCATATATCTCAGTGTAGATACATGATAGAATCTTGATCTTTTTTTCAAAAGATGCGCCATGAAAAGTTCTACGAAAATAATAATACCATATCCCTGACGTCTGGAGCCAACGGTTGTTTGCATACTGAAAACGAAAACTTACCTCACAGTACTGCTTCTCACCATATTGACCATAATAAAAATCATTTGGACAATTTTTTATCGTCTAGCAGGAATTCGTTTATACAGCTTGTGTAGATCTTTTGACGACGCATCTTTTGAAAAACAATTCAAGATTTTACCATCAATCTATGTTGAGATAGATGTGAAATAAAATAGTCATCCAAAAAATTTTTTATTATGTTCGATAACAATACTGCCACGTAAGTTTTTGATTTTCAGTATGCAAAAGATCGTTTGTTCTAGACATCAGGGATTTGGTATTATTATTTTGTAGAGCTTTCCACAGCGCATCTTTTTAAAAAAGATCAAGATTCTATCATGAACCTACGCTGAGATATATGCAAGACAAAAGTGTGGCAATCATTTCGGTCCCCCCGGTATTTCTGTCACTGATCTGTTTATAGAATTAATTTTAATTTAATAGTTTTTATCGAGCTAAAAACATTCAATATTAATTATATAAACGATAAAAATTCAATTCTTAGAAAAAGAAAAAGAATCGTTCATACTGTTTTTTTTTCGATCACATATTCACTATATAAGATGGAAACAATGAGAAATATTTGGTGTATACACTATATTAGCATTATTGTTCAGTCTGAATTAGAAATATAATTGAAGCAAATTGATTTTCTAGTTCTATTCATCATCTGAATGAACTTGAATAAATGACATCTAAAGATCTCCTGCTATGGTCCTTAGTCATGATTCATCCCTCAAAGTTTCTCTCTCATGTTCGTTTCTGTGCTATGTTATCTCTCAGCTTCACTTCACTTGTGCGTTCTCTCTCGAATTTGTCTTCTATGAGTATCTCTTTGCGTGTTAGGATGTATATGAACTATGCTTCATTCGTTTGTTTTTTTGGAAAAAGAAGGGAGTTGAAAGAGAGAGAGAGACATCACATCGACGAAAAATGCATTCTTTTATTGTTTTATTATATATGAAAGAAAGTTGTTAAGTTCAAGCACTTTACACTTGATATTTGTCTATGAATATCTGAAATCGAATTACTTAGATATATTTAATGTCGAATGTTTTCGAATTACAGGAAAAGAATATTTTTAAAGATATGATTAAAAGTCAAGGTTTACTTCTTTTTAGACATATCGAGTGTCCAGTAAATCATTAGACAACAGAGAAATATTTTTGTATTTTTCAATATCGATCCTTGATTATGACATGATTTCAGTAATAATAAAAATAAAAGACCTTTGTTTGAGTCTACAGTTTTATTGTTACATAAGATTATATCATAATCAAGGATCGAAATTTAGAAATAAAAAATCTTTCTCTGTTATTTATTGATTTACTGGATACTTTATAGATTAAGTTATAATCTTTCGAGACAAACATCATGAATATGAACACTTTTGAAGCTTTGTTTAGTTCCACTGAAATCTCTTGGTGACCCAACGATGGAGTCAAAAACGTGAAAATAATTCGAGAATTTTCTCTCGTCAGTCTCACTCAACTTATGGACTTGACTTTTCAATCATTATCAAATTATTGCAAAAAATGATGAAATATTCTCATTAATTTCGATAATCTATTCGATAAAAAGAGATGTTCATCGGTTTACATCCGCGATAGTAGTAGGTGTTTTTTTTAAATAATTGACAATACGAGAATCTGTTTGCAGCAGTTAATACAAATTTGTGATGAACATCACTCTTGATAAAATTCTCCTGACGTTTCTCACGATCAACGAAGTTTGTTTCATTCGGACTATGATGATTTTAGTGTTGTACGATAGTTTTTTTTGTACTCTTTCTTATACTTTTGAACATTCCTGCGTAAAAAAATATTTTGTCAGAATTGTTCAAAAGAATTTTTATTTTCTCTTTTCGAAAACTTAATGTTTACACCACATGATTGATATCCGAGAAAAAAAAAGAAATTTTTCTTTCTTGTTCAATGAAAATAAATCGATTCACTTACTTGTTCATCATCGGAACTTTGATTATCTCGATCAACATTGGACGCATTTTCATCTTTGACATAGGTTGATCTTGATTCATCGATATTCAATTGATGTTCATCATCATCATCATCATTGATAATAGTAGATGAAAGATTTTGATCAAGATCTGATTCAGTTTCTCTGGATTGTTCCATTTTCATTGATTTTGATTTTGATTGTAATTGTTCAATGGGGATCGAGAATTTCGTTGGTGATAAAGAATTCATTCTACATCAATCAATCGATTCATTTCCAATTAAATGGAAAATTAAACAATAATAACAAAAATAAAAGAAGAGAAAAGAATTTACTTGAAATAATCCTTATGTAAATTGAGATGTTGATCGAAATCAATAGTCGACAATGAATAATATCGACAAGTATCACAGAGATAAATTTGATTGTATTCATGCTCAAATTTCATATGATTTCGAAATTCACTTTTTATTGTTGATTGATAATCACATTGATTACATAGATGAATAATTCGGGTGTGGGTATGGGTATGAATGAAGGGAAGACTAACACCCACACCCACACCCTCTCATTTATCACTTACACAAGACATCAAATCTACTGGAAACAACTGCATCGAATTTCATAAGTTTTCATTTGTTCTTGTAACAGAAAACGTATAAAAAACAGTCTTCAAATCGGAATAGTAATTTGTAACAGAGCTGAAAATTTTACGAAAAAATGAACTTTCCAGTTGGTAGTAGTCTTTTGAAAGTGGAAGTAGTCAACAGTTCCTTTTTCGATTCTGTCTGTCCGAGAAGATCTCTACTCATTGCATATGCGATATAGTGTGGTAGTTTCGAAAAATATTCTTTTATTATTTCTGATGATCCAGTGTTTATCCTGATATAGGGTGGTTGCACTTTCATATATTAGTATGCTATATCAAAAGAGACTAATCTTGTCATAATAATATTCTTTGTCCTTCTATAACACAATTCCATGTTCATCAACATTTTAATTTTTCCTCTTTTTATACTTTTTACAATATACAGAGAGGGTGGGGTACGAAAAGGAATGCACACAGGTTTTTTGCTTGTTTTGGTTGTATTTTTTTAGATACAAATAAAAAATGAAGTGATGATACTGATTATGAAATGAACGACGATACAAGTTATGCACCCGGAGACGAAATCAATCAAGAAATGGGTGAGGGTATTAATGATTGAATTTCTATTTTATCGTGGAATTTTCAGCTCTATTACGAATTTGTATTCTGATTCAAAGACTCATTTCATTGAGCGAGCCAGGAGCATCTTTTTTTGGGATAAGACTCATTCTAGAATATTTGATGTAGACGATGACCTATTTCTTATACGTTTTCTGTTACAAGAAAAAATGAAAACTTATGAAATTCGTTGCAGTTATTTCCAGTAGATTTGATGCCTTAACAAGAATCATGTAACGGATCTTATGGGAATTGTACAGTTTGGAAAAAATTCAACAAATTAAATGTATCTTTATTTGATATCGACCCACTTGATTTTTATTTAGAATTGGTGCCCAACTCTTACGCTTTCGAATGGTGAAAATCGCAGCTCTCCATCTTGTTCCTATCAAAAGTTACTCGAAACATGATAACCTGCCTTTTATTTTGGATCCAATAACAGTTTTCCTTACAGAAAAATGCCCGAATAAAACTACATGACGTCTCTTTCAGGCTTCACTGTGCCATACGAAATATTACAGTTTCACGTTGATACTTTATATTATAGTTTAAAATTTTTCAGATTTCTATTTTTTTTTTGTATAATCGGATGATTCGAAGCATTTTATATTAACTTTTGAGACAGTACTAGAATAAGGAAATTTTGCCATCTTCATCGTCGCCGATATGAAGTAGCATCTTGATGGCTATCAGTATCACAATATTTGCTAGATTACGTTGATAGCTCAATGCTCGTCTCTTAAATAACTCAACATGATATTTGCTATTATCAGAAAAAGCAAGTATAGGCTATCAATAAAAACAACCAGACACTTGTAAATCGATCATCGACACCAGTTTTGTATCTATCTAAATCGTGTCTCATTGGGCTAAATAGATTAGCACTATGTGTGTATTATTTAGTAAACTTATTTCTACTTGAAACATTATTCAGATACGTTATTCATTACAATAAAAACCAATATATTGAAAAAACTTAATACTGACTTTTTGTTCATTTGGCTTGATTATGAGTATGTAACACAGTCTATCTGTTTTTTGCAAATGATTCATTTTACCTTTGCAGTAAGGCATGTCTATATGTTTCTTACTCTTCGTTGATAGCCTTGGTTTTTATTCTCTTAAGTTTTTTTAAATTTTTTGTTACACATTCCATCACGAACGTGGCTATACAAGATGCATACATTGTGCATGAAACGATTTGCTTCAGTGATTTATGCATAATGAATACTGCATACGAAATATAATCGAGACATATTCATACTCGCAAAAAAACCAAATTAATTACTTATATTGACGAACATAATATACTATATTCATGTATACATAACTAAAAAGTATCGATTAATATTTTCTTACGTGGTTCACATGAAGTCAATACCGTCGCTCATGGTTAAAGAAATACTTGAGTGAGTGCGTATTGCAGTGAATAAGAAAAATGACAATGACACCTTACATCCTTCCATCATTTCGATGGTTTATCTTTATTGATAGAAGAAGATTTCATTGAAAAACAAATAGCGAATAATTCCTCTCTTTATTATTTTATAGTCGTTTTACAGATCGTCATTCAAATGACCAAAACTAATTGAACAATTCGTCTAGAATATAACTTCAAGGTTTTTTGTTTTCCAAGGAATTATCAATACGTTTTAATTAAATTTCTACATAATATAAGCACTAATTATCTATCTCATTTAAATATCTTTAATGATATTGGAAAAAGTAAACCACTGAACGGAAAACTATCATCAACATCATTATTATCTTCTACTTTAGGTTTTATTTAATCTACAGAAAATAAACTAAAAATTGAATAGATTTTAGTTTTTAGAATGAAAATTTATTTCTCACTGTTCATTTTTATTTTCATTTAAATATTGAAGAAATCTTGAAAAAGTATATCTTTAGACATTTCATTATCTTTTAGTCTTATTAATGGCTTTATTATATAACGTAATGTCTGCACTAGGCGATATCTCAAGGTTTTTCATAGCACTGACGAACTAACAATTTATTCAATGAATACCAGGGGATACATAGTTTTCGTTTGGTTTTCATTAGAGAGGAGAAGAATGAAGGGAGAGAGTCTCCCAAAGCTGAGGAGAAAAATGTCTTTACATTAGATTTTCTTCACAGTAAAATATATTTTCAGCTGGAACTTTTAAGAGTCTCGCTATCAATTTGAACAATATTCTCTTCGCTTTTTTTCGTATTGATAAATTGATACAAAAAATTCAGATCCATCAAAGTAAGTTTATTTTTTCTACAACGGTAGGGCGCATCCATTAGATATTCATTCGATTAGCTATAACTATTTATCTGAAACATGTTCATTGAACCTATGCCTGAAATAGGTCCTTAGATATTAAGTCGGATCCCTATACAATGTATTATTAAGCACTTGTTAAGTGAATTTAAAATACGTTGACAATCGAATCATACTTTTGCCTTGATTTAATTTTATATCTTTTCAATATATTCTTGTTCGAAATATGGACGAATTCTTTTTTCCTTTGGAACTGATTCATTTTCTCTGTAAATCGACTCATTTTTCCTTTCGGTCTGAATATTTTCTCTCTGGGTTTGGTCTATTTTCTATTTAAACTGACTCATTTTCTCTTAGAATCTGAATACTTTCTCTTTGGGTTCGAACTATATGCTCTTTAAGTTTGAATATTTTCCCTTTGAATCTGAACTATTTTCTCTTTAAACTGATTTGTTTTCTCCAAACTATCGTTTAGATTAAGTCTCTTGGTAACACAACAACTAGTTCTCCTAACATTATTGAGAAAGTTTTGAGGGTGAAAGAAATTTGCTGGTTCCATTTTTCATAGTTCACTTCGTTGACCCTAAGATTATAAACTGCTAACTGCTCATAACGAAAACTTTTAGGGAGAAAGCTGTAACGCAAGAAAAAATTTGGAGGGGAAAATCCCCGCCCCCCCCCCCCGCTTCTCCTCTCTAATCGTACTCCCTGAAGGGATATGAAAGTATAGATACCACAAGCAGATAGTTCTTAAAAAGTCATGGACATCATACCCAGGTAGGTCGTACAAAGTTACCGGTATCATGCCCAGTTAGATTTTTAAAGGTTACAGATACCATGTTCAGATAGGTCTTAAAAGTGATACGTATCACGTGCAAGTAGCTCTTCAAAAGTTATAAGAAGTATATGCATTAGAATTAAAAATAATGCTTATTTAATGCTAACATCTGAGCATTAATTAATCCTAATGCCAATTATACCAAAGCATTAACGTTAATGATTAGTGTTATTGCTTCAGGATGGGCATTAATCTAATACTAATGCTAATAGGACATCTCTAGTCATCGGAGTCCCACTTATCGAGTTTCGATCACCGAATTCGACCAAATCCTTAAAGCTTCTAATAGAACTCGGTTGAACTTTATCGAAATCCAATGAAATTGGAACCAAAATCCAACAATTAGATCATTCGTCTTTGGTATTTTAGCAATTATAAATGTTATCAGAATTATTATCACTTACTATTTCGTAATAAATTTTAGTCTCTGATGATTTATTTCTGTTTTAACAAAGTGTAAACCTAGTATCATATCTTCGATCGTTTGTATATAAAGTAATCGAACTTTAAATGACTACTAAGATTACAGTCGTTTACACTATTTTTAGTTATACCTACTGAATTTAAAAAACAATTAATATACTACCATCTTACCGAATTAATTCACTCAATATCTTATCAAGAATATAATATGACACAAAAAATTGAGCAATGTGACTAGATTCTTTATTAAATTTTTCTGATGAGTTTTCTATTAATTTTTACAAAAAGAGTATTGTCTCTTTCAAAATAGTTCATTGAGTATTATTGAAAATCGTTTTGATTGAGCATTTTATAATAAGCTCCATGTCGTTTTATTAGTTCTATATGAGTACCACTCTCCACTATATGCCCCTTATCAAGCACACAAATTAAATCACATTTACGAATAGTTGAAAGTCGATGAGCGATAATGAGTGATATTCGACTAGGATCTTCTGCTTGAGCTTGATCAAGAGTTTGTTGTACAATCTGTACTTAAAAAATGAAGTTTTAATTGATAAAAAAAAAAGAAGATTACTTGTTCATTGTATGAATCCATGGCACTTGTAGCCTCATCTAAGAGCAATACTTTGGGTTGACGAAGAAGAACTCGAGCAATGGCAATACGTTGCTTCTCACCACCTGATAGAAAACTTCCTTTCATTCCTACTTTTGTTTCATAACCCTAAAAATATCATCCGACAATAGACTAATTAGTTGCTCGATCTAGTATTGTTTTCTGTATTACCCGAGGCAGTTGTTGAATAAATTCGTGAATATTCGCTTTAATTGCTGCAGTGATGATCTTTTCCATTGGAATATTTTCTAATCCATATGCGATATTTTCAGCAATTGTTAGATCAAATAAAATTGGTTCTTGGCTAACAAGCCCGAAATGAGAACGAATCCAATGAATATTTAATTGTCGAATATCAATACCATCAAGAAGCTAGATTAAGATGATAAATTTCATATGATTACTTAAACTATATATTAGAGAAGTACTAACTAGTTGACCATGTGTGACATCATAGAATCGTTCTAACAAATGAATAATTGTTGATTTTCCACATCCAGATGGGCCTATATCGGTCATATGATGTAATTAACAATTAAGAGAAACAAGCCATTTAAACTTACCAACTAGAGCCACACGTTGACCTTATCAAGAAATAAAAATATAAGAAAACTAGAGTAACTCGATATTAATCTTCCTTACCTGATTTGATACTCATTTGAAGTTTGTTAAGAACAATAGATGTTGGTCGAGTTGGATAGAAATATTTAACTTGATCAAATTCGATTTCTCCACGAAAGTTAACCTATACATATCGTATGATATTCGTGACAAGTATTAAGTGAAAGAAAATAATTATTCTTCACGTTCTCTTACTAGTTTTCGTCCTTTAGAAGATGTATTGTCGATAGTTGGTGTTCGATCGAATAAATCAAAAAAACTTTGAGCAGCTGATAATGATGCATTGATACGGGTAGTTCTAGAAAAGAGATAGTAAAATGAAGAATTAATTAGAGACTGATAATTGTACATTATTTCGACGATTTTTAGGGCTTGTCCCATAAAAATAGCAAAAGCAAAGACTCTAGAAAAACAAAAAGACAATAAAATATTGTTTTCATCTTATCAACTATAATTTTAATTACATTATAGCATCATTCAACGCTAATTCATTCTTTTCAACAAGAATAAGAGCACGCCAATACAGAAATGTCGAAATATACATATTTGATGTCCAGTAGACACCACGTACTACTGCATTTATTATGGCAGGTTTCCAAGACATTCTATAAAAAATAAAATTTATTGGAAATTTATTCATGTATAATAATTTGAGAGGCTAACATCAACATTTGATGAACACATTCAGAATATTGTCGCAAAACTTCCTTTTCTGTCGACAACTGTTTTATTGTACGCATGTTGTGAATAACTTCAGTAGCAAGCTGTATAAGACAAAGATAGAATGAATTTTTTTTGTCAGATTTTCGCCTTATCAAATAATGCATGATAGTTTTCTTTTTTTTATAAGGTGCCGCCAATGCAAAATTTATGCAAAATTTTTTTTTGTTCATTTATATATGGTTTGATAGACCGTGAAAGATTGGTCACGAATATATTTTTCTTTTATTTCGACTCAATCACTTTTTGATCAAGAAAAACGCTAAAAAAGTCGAATGACTAAAAATGTCATATATGTAGCTACATCGGGGTCGTTTTACAGAAATTGTTAAGTTTCAAGGACATTTATTTTGTTAAGCTTTTTAAAAATATTATATTCTGAATCAGCGTGAAAAACTGAGTAAGAAAATATTATTTGATTAGATTTAAAACTAAAAAAAGTTTAAAAGATCCTGTCCGATACTGATATCTTGACATGCTCAATAGTATGCATCGGTGACTAATCTTGTAATCCTATCTAGTTTTTGTAACAAGAGATACAAGCAAGTGTCTTATCTCATTAGAATTGTCAGATCATGGGCTACAAAAGTATCTATTTTGGTTTTTTTAGATTTTGTTTTATTGTTGTAAAAATCGAGCTTTTTCTTCGTTTGATGGCAAGATTAGATAAAAGCATGAAAAATGTGTTCATATTTAGCGATTTTTACTATCATGATTCAGAGAAAAAATGAAATAGATAGCATATTCGGGACCAACATCAAAAACTACATTGAATCATATGTATTTTAAGAAATTTTTTTTCCAATCAAAAATTCATCTGTGGTCCCCCTCAGGCATGGTTTTTTTAAAATTTTTGCGTCTAGCCTCCCCAGGGGTCGATTTTTGGTCGGAAACAAATTTTCTTAAAATACATATGATTCAATTTAGTTTTTGATGTTGGTCCCGAATATGCTATCTATTTCATTTTTTCTCTGAATCATGATAGTAAAAATCGCTAAATATGAACACATTTTTCATGCTTTTATCTAATCTTGCCATCAAATGAAGAAAAAGCTCGATTTTCACAACAATAAAACAAAATCTAAAAAAACCAAAATAGATACTTTTGTAGCCCATGATCAGACAATTCTAATGAGATAAGGCACTTGCTTGTATCTCTTGTTACAAAAACTAGATAGGATTACAAGATTAGTCACCGATGCATACTATTGAGCATGTCAAGATATCTGTATCGGGCAGGATCTTTTAAACTTTCTTTAGTTTTAAATCTAATCAAATAATATTTTCTTACTCAGTTTTTCACGCTGATTCAGAATATAATATTTTTAAAAAGCTTAACAAAATAAATGTCCTTGAAACTTAACAATTTCTGTAAAACGACCCCAATGTAGCTACATATATGACATTTTTAGTCATTCGACTTTTTTAGCGTTTTTCTTGATCAAAAAGTGATTGAGTCGAAATAAAAGAAAAATATATTCGTGACCAACCTTTCACGGTCTATCAAACCATATATAAATGAACAAAAAAAGAAATTTCGCTTGAATTTTGCATTGGTGGCACCTTATATAAAAACATTACGGACAAAAATCCAATTTTACCGAGCTTGCACGTGCAACAATGATATCAGATTGTTGGTTCAGCGACATCTGTAATCGTACATTCAGATAGGTAATAATACATAAAATAAAAATGGGAAGAAAAACTATAATTGTTAACTGCCAACTGAATAACATGCCAAATAGAAGACCAAAAAGGACCAATGCAAAAGTTTCACAGATGATTCCCAACTTTGTACCAAGCATTTGTTGAATGGCTGATGCTTGAGTAGAAAGACGAATAGAAATTGCACCAGAAGTGTTTTCAGGTTGATCAAAATAAGCAACTTCTTGACGAAGAAGACATGCAAATGCTTTTGAACGGATACGTTGCGTCAATTTCGATCCCGATATGGCAAAAGCCGTATACTAGATAGAGAAATACAAAAATCATTAATGAAGCTCAAAAATAACATTTTTACCTGCACGAAATGAAGAATCAATAAAAGAAGACCCAAACATAAAAAGAGAAAACTGAAACTCAACACATGACGATGTCTGTTAGGGTATAGACAATCTTTAAATGCCTATGCAATGCAAAATAGAGACACAAAAAGAAATACATGTTGTCTGTCTTTTTGCATAATATTTATATAGATGGATTACTCACATTGACTATCTTGGCAAGTAAAACTGCGAACAATGGTTGAATTGCTCCATTCATTATACATGCTATACAAGCAATCAAAATGGTAATCCATTCTGGACGGTTCATGGACAAGAGTCTTATAAAGATAGATTGCCGGCTTGATGATGCTGAATTTTTCTAGAAAAGAGATTATTAATATTAATTCTTATAAATATTCATATGTTCATTTATACTTTGTTCATATCAACATCTTGAGTATCACTAAGCAATCGAGATCGTTCAACTATTCAAGAAAATATATTTGGAATAGATCAGGATTAGTATTGTTAGAATGTCAATATACATACATATTCGTTTCTCATCTACTTCTGTCACTTTTTTCATCTTCATTGTATCATCTTTATCATCATTTATACTTTTCATTTGTTGACTTTTGACCATTGTTCGGTATTTGCCTCCTTCGTTTGTCATCAATGTTTCATGTGTTCCTTCTTCAATTACTCTTCCATTATCTAATACATATATATAATCAGCATTTCGAATTGTATTCAAACGATGGGCAATTACAATAGTAGTACGACCTATAAACAACGATAACTTACATCAATGTATAATAAATAGAAAAATATCTATTACCTTTGCATGCTCGATCAAGTGCTTCCTGAACAATTTTTTCACTAATATTATCAAGTGCACTTGTCGCTTCATCTAACAAAAGTAATATAGGCTGTTTGACAAGAGCACGAGCTAATGCAATACGTTGTTTTTCACCGCCACTCAATTGCAGTCCACGTTCACCAACAAGTGTTTCATATTTCTAAATAAATAAAAATACTTATGTGTAAATGAAGATGAATATTAAAGACAAACATTTGGTAGTTGCGTGATGAAATGATGTGCATTTGCTAAACGAGCTGCTTCTTCAATTTCGGTTCGTGTCGCATTTACTTTACCAAAACGAATATTTTCATAAACGCTCATACCAAACAAAATCTATCACAGTACATTGAATGGAAGAAAGAAAAAGCAGAAATCGAAGCATACTGGTTCTTGACTAACAACTCCAATGTTTTGTCGAAGTTGTTTGAGATTATAATCTAGAATCGATCGACCATTGATCGTGATTTGACCTGATGAAGGTTCATAATAACGAAGAAGAAGTGATATACATGTACTTTTTCCTGTAAATGACTTATGAAAATGATTATATATTTTTGTTTTGGAACATACTTACCACAGCCACTTGAACCAACAAGAGCAGTTGTCTGACCAACACGAGCAATGAGAGTGAAATTACGCAAAACAGAAACGTCTCGTCGAGATGGATAACTGAAGTCAACATTCTTAAATTCAATATCGCCATTAATATCACAAACCAATCCGTCATGTAATCTATCTTCTTTCCATATGTCCATTTCATTTATGCATACGTTTTGTGCCTATATCATGTAAACAAAAAAAGAGTACCTTGCTACTGATATGCATCTCGATTTACTGACATTTACCTCATCAATAAGTCGAAACACTGGTGCTGCTGCACCTCGAGCTTCTGAAAGTGATTGGAAGAAAGGACTAATAGAATTGCAAGAGTGCATACATTGTGCAAAGATGGAGACGATCTGGATTAAGACAGTAGTCATATAATCATTTCCTTATTGACTTAGGATATAAATTACTTACGACAAAAATATCACTGATACTCAATCTATTGTGAACTTCATACGACATAAAAAGAGAACCAAAGATGAAACCAAGTGAATAAACTATGTAGGTTGTAAGAGATAACCAGCCAGTAAAAATACCATACGCAACACCTTGTCGTATACTACTCCAACGAGTAGATTCTAATTCTCTTTCATATCTAAATATAATAAATACAACAGTATACTTTATGAAAATCTATACGGGGTATTCCATGATACCTCCACCACAAAATACACAAGTATTTTCAAATCACATAAAACTTTCAGGATTTGTAGATCATAGTGAGATATTAACATCTCCAAGATCAGTTTTTTAAAATTCATTAATAAATCGGAACATATCGAGCATCGCATTTCTATGATTTTTGCGTGTAATCATAAAAATTAGTTTTTTTTTTGAAAATGATGCTACACAAAAATCTTTCGAATTAAACATATAAAGTGTTAACTATTGTATATCCTCCCGGACAAAATAAGTGATACATCTTGTTTTTTTAATTATTTCTCCATACTATTGTCATTTGATCTCAAATTTCTACCACAAATAGATCTTTGATTGCTAACATACTCTGAAAATTTCAGCCTTATAGAATGAGAATTCATTAAGAAAAGTAGAAAAATATCTCATGTATTTATTTATCAATGTAATGAAAGTTTGTTGTTTTCTTGTTAAATTTTGTTTTTTTTTCTGTTTTCAAAAACATTAATCTTTGACGCATAAATTAGGTTTTTCCGATTTTTTTTGCACCATTACGGACTTTTGGATAGATTCCTTTGCAAAACACTTAGGAGAAACGTGTGGAAACGGATTCATAAATTAAAGATTAATTTTTTTGAAAACAGAAAAAAAAACAAAATTTAACAAGAAAACAACAAACTTTCATTACATTGATACATAAATACATGAGATATTTTTCTACTTTTCTTAATGAATTCTCATTCTATAAGGCTGAAATCTTCAGAGTATGTTAGCAATCAAAGATCTATTTGTGGTAGAAATTTGAGATCAAATGACAATAGTATGGAGAAGTAATCAAAAAAAAACAAGATATATCGTTTATTTTGCCCGGAGAGATATACAATAGTTAATACTTTATATGTTTAATTCGAAAGATTTTTGTGTAGCATCATTTTCGAAAAAAAAACTAATTTTTATGATTATACGCAAAAATCATAGAAATGCGGTGCTCGATATGTTCTTATTTATTAATGAATTTTAAAAAACTGATCTTGTAGATTTTAATATCTCACTAGGATCTACAAACTCTGAAAGTTTTATGTGATTCGGAAACACTTGTGTATTTTGTGGTGGAGATACCATGCAATACCCCCATATATGTAAACTATTTTTAGATTTCTGTTTACCGTTTTTGCTCAAACTTGGTGCCATTGAGTGAAAGAACAGTTCTCAGTGAACTAAACACTTCTTGAACGATTTGTCCAGCTTTCGAGTATGTATTTAGTTCATTTATTGTTTCATTAGCGATGATCTGTAACAATTTATATAAGTTTAATTAATTGAGAGATAATTCATACCTTTGAAAATACGAATGAACCGCCAATAGCAACGGGTAAAGTACACATTATGATCGAAGTCAATTGCCAATTTATAAGAAAAGATATGATTAAAGTGCAAAAGATGCTGACTATTGTTCCGACAAATACTAAGAAACCAAAACCAAAGCCTTGTTCGATCTTTTCAATGTTTCTATAGAAGAATTGAATCAGATGGAGCTGTTTGATATAATATATTTCAGTAACTTACTCAAATAATTTATCAGTGTGTTGATAAGTTGGATTTATATCCAAATAAGGAATATTCTAAAATATAAGAGAAAGAGCAAAGTATTTCTCCACGGCACAATGCACAAAATATATCATGGCATTAAGATGAGTAGGTTCAATAACATTACTTTGATATCGTTTTAGATTTTTATTATCTGAATATTAATCTTTCTAATATATCCTAGTGTTGCTATTTTTAAACTCCATGTCAAACCTTCGTTACGATAAAGTCATAATCTACCAAACTTGAAAGTTCTCTGAAAAATAATCAATGATTGCAAGTGCACTATAAAACTTAAATAGGATTATATTTCTATTAGCGCCTGGAAAAATTTGAGTGTATAATTAAGAGCAAGACCAAGACACATTTCTACTATTGTTCTCCCTTATCACCTCCGTGTTCTGAACTCTAGACATTTCTGGGTATATATATAACTTTTATCTATATACTTTATTTTGTTTCTTAAGATTTCTAAATTTTCTAATTTTTGAATGGCAGAAACATTTGAAAAAGGAAGAACATAAGATATTATAAATTTTCAGAAAAGTTGAGAGAACAGTTTTTGTGTATAGAAAAGTGTTTTTAACTTACGCGTTGAATAAGTGACTGAAAGAGGCAAACATTCATACGAGATGTCTGTCGTTTTATAGAAATCGTCCAAATGGAACTTTCAATCAAAGTACACAGAAACACGACAGCAATAATAACTATATTGACATAAAAAAAAAAGACAATTCTTATTATTTGTTCATAATCAAATTGTTACATTCATTTAACTTACTTAATAACGAATGAAGTATTTTCATAACTTGTTCTCGAAATACTAATTTTGATGTAGGTAATGTCGATGATAAACGCACATTATTAATGTAGCATAGACTGAAGTACAAAATAATGAAAAAATAAGTCTATACATATTAATTAATAATAGCGATTTCTAATAAATTACGTATAGAATCGAACATAGTTAACCGGATTGAGATCAATGCCTAGAGGACATGTAATGTTGTTCTTAATTAGATCTGTTAAGATTTCGTATTGATGATGACAACTATCAGCAAATGATCCAATAGCAAAGAGTCCTGTGATTCGGCCAATAAAAACTAGACCAGCGAGAATACAAAGAACATGCACTATTATGAAACACGCAGCAATAAACATTAGAAGAACATCAATACGATCTGCAAACCGAAACTACAATAAAATTTAACAGACTGATTCATATATGTATTTCATCTCAATACACTTACCAAGTGGAAGATACCAATCGCTACATCCTCATCACAATGGCCAATATCATCATCTAATTTGTTATATTCATTGAGAGCCTTTTTACCATTGAAACATCGACGCCAGTCAGAGAAACTACATAAAATGATCAGTTTATTGTATGTTTCTCGAAGTTAGTTATATAGTCAACTATACTTTATAGCCGAAGCTTTTTTTTTGTTTTCTTTATCATTATCATCATTAAGAGACAGATTGCTGGATGTATTTAACAGGAATTGCTTATCACTCATTTTTTTACGTATACTAAAATGAAAAATATCAAACACGAACATGAATATGTATTAATCGAAAGATAGATTTGACGGAAATTGCTTGACTAATCATGCGCTTCTTTTTTTTTGCTTATTAATTAAGAAAAAAAGAAAATTTATACTTCAATATCTACCTTACTATAGGAAATCATACCATGTGAAAAAGAATATTTACATTTATGCTTTGGATGTATGACTCAATGTATGGTTTGTTTTTTTTCCTCATATAGTACGTAGAGGTAATTAAAATATGAATAGATGAATCTGTATCACATGTAAGTTAAAAGATGATAATTATAAATATGAGAAATGTTGTTAATCTAATTACAAATCGAATACAGGTTAAGAGTAACATAAAAAGACGTGTTCAAATCAAAACAATAAGCTTTCTCGAACGTTCTCATTTACTACGCGATTGCTAGACTTTTCAAGTTTGAGTTATCGAGTTTTATTAAAACTTTGTAAATAATAATATAATATGAAACAGTGAGAAATAGACAAAATTTGAGGTCGACAAAACATAGATAAAGATCGAGCATTGAGATTAAACATGTATGTTTTCTAACAATCGTCTATGAAGAAAGATGGAAACAATGGAACAGATACTGTTCGATAGTATAATTAACTAATCCCATAATCGACCCTTATCGGATTAGATAAGGTCCAATCGAGTTCCTATCAGATTTCATTACAATTTATAAGATTCAATTAAATCCTGTGCCCATATTTCCAGAAATCGGATGACAGAATCACACTAGGATCGTCACTATTGCAAATCTAATTGGATTCTATCATTCGAATCCGATTGGATCCCTTATCGAAAGTTGATGAGATCGCATGATAGGGCACCGATAGGATACTGTCAGATAATCCCATTAATACTAGATAGAATACCATGAGCACTGACTACAGCCTAAATAAGAGGCTATACGATTACTAAACTTATTCTGATTAGAAAGCGACAATGTCGATTTTTCTTATGTATCTCTTCTGGACTTCGTACTATGTCCGTCGCATCTCGGACATCGAATCCATTATTCACACCATCAATAGGATTCTCATCCGACTTTCATTAATGTCCAATTTCATGAAGAATGATCCTATATCTCAAAGATTTTTCCAACTGTGTTTCTCCGCATTAAGTCCACTAATGTGAATCTTTCACTTAGAAAAACTATAAACAAAAACAATTAGCGATTCATCTTTCTCGACTCAGAAAACCTCGTTCACACATTTCGCACATGGTGTTGCTTGTATCATTTAAGAGAAGATCCCTGCTAACTACTGTATTGACTTGTGGAACATTTTGTTCTGTCTGCATCGAAGTAGAGGAAAACTCTGGTCAAACCTGCTTGACTAGAGATTTTCTCTTTCAATTGATCAGATTTCATCGAGGTTTTTCTCTGCTCCAGTATGGACAGAACATAACGTTGTTCAGACTTTTTCCTTCATCAATTAGTTTTTAAGAAAATATTTCTCTACTCCAGTGTCGATATGATACTATTGATCATCATGAATCCAGGATGACCTTTCACATTACGTCATTTTTTCCTTTTCTTCTCTATTGCGTTACTTAATATTTTGTTTCTTGATTTCTATTACGATCTTTTCTTTGTATATATATGTATTATATACATTTTCTTTTTTTTTCGTTATTAAAATATAAGAGTTGTTATTTCTGTTCACCTTGTTAAAAAGTTCGTCGTTATTATTATTATAAAATATCATCAACATCGATAAAACCTTTATTGATTATTATTATAAGTTATAATTAAATCAAACATATGATTATATATTTGGTTAACGAAACATTACTTCTTTTCTCTCTCTAAAAATATAATATATTATTATATAAAAAATATGCTTTTTACAACTACAAAGTTTGGCAGACAATCGGTGTAAGCTCTCAAAATTGTTAAGCAGACTAAATATCAGTTCTATTATATATTTCTTCAAACGAAAGTCTTACATCGCTATGCACTCCTATTTGAAATCGAGAGCTTCATTCCTCTATAGTCAAACTCGTCAACCCTTTATATTTATTACGAAAAAGATACTTAGATAGATAACAATTTCATAAATACATACATTTGCTCGTTGGACTTGTAGAAAATATTGTCTGGTTGCGAGGATAGTACCAGTGTAGTGTGTCGACGTTGCTCTGTGCTTTAAATTAAAGTATAATATTGTTTATATATACATTGAATAAAACATTTTGCATAAAGCATTCAACCGAATCGCAAAAAATGGTGAGAATAATTTACACATATGCCTTGTTTTTTCGGCTGGAAATCGTTACTTTTATATTACTTGCTGTCTCATTCATCTTTTCCTTGCCTATACGGCATTAATACACAGAAAATATGTATTACAATATACGCAAAATAATCATGAGGATATTTTTAAAACGTGCATTGTTTTTTTTTAGTTGGAAATTTTATCTTTGTTGTGCTTGTTCTTCCACTCATCCTTGTTCTCTCATTCGTCCTTGTTTCCTCATTCATTTTTGTTCTCTCATTCATCCTTGTGACAGCTGTACAATAGTAATACACAAAAAAAAAAAATGTGTGCATCATACTAGACCCATAATAATCATGATATTTAAAGGAATACTTTTTTTTCTGGTTTGAAATTTTACCTTCGCTTTTTCTTATTCTCTCATTCTTTCTTTGTATAGTTATACGATATTTGTACACTAAGTAAAATGTGCATTATAATATACACATAATAATCATCGGAGTATTGTTAAAAAATACGTTGATTGTTTTCGGTTTGAATATTGCCTATAATTTACTATGTATTTTTAGCCTTCCCTATTTGCATTTAGTTTTTTGTACATTTTTCTTTATTCAATAAATAAAATTAAATAAAGACAATTAATTTCAGTTCTTTATAACATATGAATAATAATAATTTCAATAAGATATTCATGTCGTGCTTCAACAATGAAAAGTTGCTTTCTTCACACGTTGTGTACGGAAGTCTATAGATTTTTCTATTTAAATTTTTATCTCTCTTTTTCTTTTTGATATTAATCATGTGATAGTTGAATGGCAAGATGGTGAAAACAGTTGGATATATTTACTACTTATTTCCAATTATTAGCGTAGATCCTTCATGTAGATAGAGCCCTGTGGTTCCAAAAAAAATTGGAACCGAGGACCAGATTTTTCTGTTTCTCTTATCCGGAACCGTTAGGAACCGAACTTTTTCTTGAGGGTGAGAGTTTCAAGATGTGCGGATGTTGCAAGATGCGCATTATACCAGTACCTTCCTTCATTTATTCATGAAAAGTTTTTGTAATAATCCTGGTTTTCAAGAAAAAGCTCTTAAGTTAGTTAAAACGAAAATTATTAAACGGCAATGAACAATACTATCCACTACAATTACAACGACTACACCACTATCTGTCCATACAGATTCACCTGGTTCTCAGTCGACAACATCAAAAGGTCTTCTTTCATACTGTTTTGATATACTACAAAATTCCTTAATATTGTCAACAACAACATATGAGTTAGATGAATATATGCCATCAAATGTCCCATTTAGTGGACATGATGATGTTTTATAATCCCGCGACAACAGAATTTAACATTAACGATCTAATTTTCTATAGCTCAAGATTTTTATGCTGTATAAGCATCGAATAACATTGTAGAAAGACTTTTCTCGTCTGCAGAGAGCACAAGTATCGATAAACGCACCAAGTTTGGTGCAAAAAATACCTCTACTATTATTTTTTCAGAAAAATTTAGCATTATTAAAATCATGTGATAAAAAAAATTGATGAAGTTGATACAACTGAAATGAAAAGAAAGATGGTTGAACAGCCATCTTCTACAATCTCCTGTCCTAGCTAAATAACAATATATTGCTACAGCAATAAAAAAGATGTTTAGAATGAGTAACAAAGATGATGTTGTTCTTTGTGATCATGATCATGTAGAGGATAAGGAAATGATGAAGTCGATCTTTTTAGACCTTGTATACTATAAATATTTCATATGAACATATTGTATATTAATGTTTTATATCATTCTTTGAGTTTTCTTTTATCTTTTGAAGTAGCTACTTATTTGATGAAGTAATAAACACAAAGAGTTCCGAAGATAAAATGTAGAAATTTCTAAAAAAATCCAATGACTCAGTATTTTGTATGTTACGATAAAATCATCGGTTCCTTTTTCGGTTCCGAAAAAATTTTAGGAACCGAAAAAGGAACCGCTTTTTTCGATTTCGCGAACAGGAACCGTCGGTTTCGGTTCGGTTCTCGGGTAATGTTAGGAACCGCAGGGCTCTACATGCAGATGAATGGATCATGTACTTTAATGTAATCGTAACGATTTAAAAGCTTGCTGATAATAGAATAAATTGGTTCTTTGGTTAACCGTTTTCCCCAACCAATCTCATTGTCCATGAGATATACTGTATCTCAATCAAGGGTGCGTCAATATGTGTGATCTTGATGATGTATTACAATGTCTGAACAGAGTTTAATAGCTTCGTTATAAATTGCTTCACACTGACATTTTATTTGGCAAATATTCGATCGAGATCTTTGTTTTATCAAGTTCAAAATTGCTGTTTGAAGCTTATTAGATAAGAAGAAAGTCATCGTAATTTTAGATTGTTATAATTTTTGTTTTATAATGCGTATTATATGTACAAATGGTACTGTAATTTGATATTTTATCTAGTTTATTTTAACATTTTTCCTTTTTTTCATTTATTTATAGCACTTGTGTAGCGTTTGTTTAAATCATCTTATTGATTAATATTACGAGTCGTTCTCTTAATTATTTAGGATGCCATGTTATTAATAATATTAGTTTTCCTAGATTGTTCATGGTATAAATGGTTATTCAATAACCTATCCGATGTTGTATGCTTTCTATGTCATGCAATACTAATTGTGTTATCATCGTGTTTTTAAAACCTTGTAGTTGTATCCAACATATTAATGGTTATTATTTTCATATTCATAAGTGAATCTAATTTTACTTTCAGTTTATTAACATCTTCAGTTTATGATTTAACTTTTTTTTCATTCATTGTGATTATTTAAAGAATGTCATTGACATATCTACAGAATTTCAAAGACACATTATCTATTTTGCAGATTTTTCCTAATTTATTCATACATATAAAGATCAACTAACATGAATGATAAAGTAATACGATGCATTCTGAGGATTCATGGAAACTTAATTAAACATAGAGGGCGTGAGTGTAGGTGTGGGTGTGAGTAGAAAGATAAGGTCCACACGCACACTCCACACCCACACGTGGACCCACATCTACATTCACACCCACACATTCACGTCCACTCACACCCACATCCATATTCATCCACACTCTCACCCACACTCCACCCACACCCACATCCACACACGTCCACACTCCACCCACACCCACATCCACACACGTCCACATCCATATTCACACCCACACCCTCGGTTTACGTAAATGAAAAGTTGAATAAGTTGATAAATAATGAGTCCAGTATAAGGTTGTGCTTCGCATCGAACTCGCATGATGGACTTAGCCCGTGTGTCATCTAGTTTTTCTTTGTTGACTATCTTCCACGTTCTGTTGTGAGTAAATTGTAATGTTTACTATGTGATAAAGCGCATCAAGCTAGAATAATAGTCTTATTTTCTCAGTAGTCAACATTTGTATTTGCCATGAACACAAGAATCGTACAAGGATCGTAATACGAATTTTGAGCAATCAATTTTCAAATTTCAAGACTCTCATATTTTTCACAACCAACTATTTTTAGCAATTGAGCCTATTCCATGTAAATGTAGTTCTGAGCTACTTTGGTATTTAAGGGTCGGTATGGGGCTTCTTTTTATCTACACGCTCATGCATCACTCACACTGACACAAAACACATCCATAACTCATATCCACCAAGAACCAGACTAGCACCCATAGACATGTACATCATATTATCACCCCATATCCATATCCGTATGTGATACATTATGATCTATGATTATCAATAGATTTTAGATGAACAGACTCTATATGTAGGAATGCTTTGAATCACTATTCTAAGTATTTCTTTCTAATATTCAAATCAAACAATTTAAAAGCTAAACGATGAAAAAAGTTTAAACAGAATCGTCGTCGAATGATCTATTTGCTATTTCAATACAAAAGTCGGGTGCTGTTGATCGTTCTTGCTGTAGTGGTACTTGTCGCGTCTTTGTATCCGCTGTACTCGAGTACGGATTAGATTGAACACGTCCAATGTCAAGCTGTTGCCTTTGACTCATTGGATTGGCTCCTAATAACGATATTAAATAAAAATACATTAAAAAGAACAAGCAAAAAGAACTGAATTCATCAACCAATTCAGAATTTAAGTCTAAGCTTAATGGGTACGATCTACTCAGCTTTTGTTTTTTTTCAATGTCCGTAGTTATTATTACATCAATTGATTTAACGTGACTCATCTACTATTGAAGGGTTTTTCAAAATATTCAATTGAAAAGACAGAATCATTCGGTATAAACGAATCTCGAGAAGTAAAGTGAAATTTATGCTGGATTCAACTTTCCGTAGTTCTTTCTTATGCGAGATATAGAAGTAGTAAACGTAAAAACATAACTCTGGTTTTTATCACTGCTCCACAGACATATAAAGATCAAGTGAGATGAATTTTTCCAAGCACAAGACAATATTAGTGATTATTAGTTTTATTTTTTAATCTTCGTATTCATCTACTTTACACATTAAAATCTAAAATATTGAGACTACTTGACGAACACTTCGCTTTTTCGTTGCGGGTTATCTAGTAAAATCGGCTAAAATTCAATAAAACAATATCGTTTCAAAAAATAAAAATTATATTGTAAAATATTGTTTTCATAACTGTGATATTGAAATTTTTATACTTTCAACTAAACTTGTAGAACATTAGATCTGTTTAATGACACTAGTGATCTATAAGATGTTCTCGCGGCAGTCTTAACATATGAAATAATTCTTCGCAAGAAATAGACCTTCTGATGAAATGTACATGAACATCGAAAGAATTTTCATCTAGGACTCAAACATGGATATTTGGCTCTACTATAGAGTCATTTCACATGAACTAGTACAGATTACGTAGAAAAACAAAACTTCTCAATCGGCGTCACCAAACTCAGCTCATCATTTTATTGTTGATATGATTGAGCCAGATAAAGATATTGAATCGTTTAAAAAGATGTTGTCATTTGAAGCTGCTGCAGTTATCGTGGGAACATTCATCATGAGAGTGTTTTTCATGAAATCAATAAAAATATTGTCCACAGTGGTGACATCGATTGAAAGACTCTGATCATGTCTCTAGTGTCATAACATCTAGAAATTTTAGCACCTTCAATCATATTGATAGAATTATTATACTTAAGAATGTTAAAGATTCTTATTTGATATTTAGAATACGATCTTGAATCCAAAGTAGTCTTTGATAATGATAAAACTTCTAATGAACTATTTTTCTCTTGCTTGCAAATAAAATCCTGAGCTTACGAGATGTATCATCAATCAATGGAGGCGTTGATTCACTCATTTTCGCATTTTTCATTGTCTGCATGATCCAATCCAGTGCTGTGTTTACCTATATTCACGTTCAAAATAATAGTATTGAGTGAGGGAAACGAATCAATCTTACATCTTTCATATTTCTCAACCATTTATGAGAACGTTCATCCATCTGAGCGAATTTTGATTGAACTTCGGTGATAGTATTCTCCATCGATTGCAATCGTTCTCCAGTTTCATTGTATGAGCGTTTTATATCATCTTGCAAATCATTTATGTGAAGTTGGATGCGTTTCGATTCGTCGGCATTGGTTGATGATGATTCGAATCTATATGTATCAATCAAACATCTCATAAATGTTTAAGCCTGAGGATCTTTTCCGAACTTTCAACAACTCTCGTATTCAATCTTCTCTAAACCATAGAGATTTTTAGCAATACGATGGTCTTAGATATTTTCCAATAACAGATCAATGTAGCTCTATATATGCATTTTCGTACGAAGAAATTTCTACGTAGCAAAGTGTCACGTTAAAGTCGTTTTCAACGAGTATTCAAAAATTTCATTGATGTGTTTTTTTTCTCATCTATAGTTCAAGAATAGCGACCTGTTGAAAACCTACTTCAATAATATCGCTGTAATGCTCAGTTTACTCGAAGAAATTTAACAGATACATTCACATTTATCAGAAAGTTCAAAATAGATGGTATCGTCTTTTATTTAAATTCTGTTTATTGTTAATTGAATGGCACAGAGCTGTCTTTCATTTCAAAAGTCAAGTTATATCTCAAGATTTCCATTTCAGATCTGCATAATTTTTAAAGTCTTATGGAGGATATTGAGTACATTCTAACAGATGTTCTACATGAAATAGTCCGATGACGATACCAACTAACCAAATTATAAATCTTCTTCATCTTGTATCAGAATCGTACGTATTGTAAAATTCTGTCTGCGAGTTTTTCTAATTCGACTCCGTCAAAACATCACTGATAATTAGTTTTCATACGGAAGGATGATTTGTTAAACAATGATCTTCTACCATAAATAAAATGTGCTTTATAATTTTCTAGTTTCTGTCAATAATTGCTCATTTTACATACATGGAACAGAAGCGCACAATCAAACAAAAAAATAATGAAGATCTGATTGAAGAGTCCTACAATAAGAATTCAATTTTACTGTCTTCCAAGAAAAGAAATATGAATGGACAGTTACGGGTGAAGAGATGATCTACACCTACATCTTATTTGACTAAATTTTCTATTCATGCATATTTTGAAATGAAAATGTACGCTAAGACTATACGTAATGGTTGCCTAAAGATTAAAACCAATCGACTAGTAAGCTGAT